AGGTGCTGTGGAAAAGGCGGTACCTGAGCTGCACTTGAAATGAACGGAAAGCAGAACTGAGCAATAGGGGAGGTACTACGAAAACGTGAGCATGAGCAAAGGCACGAAGGCAGGAAAGCACAGCACACTTACAGGGATCTATGGGCCATTCTGTGGAGCCCTGGTGGTGTGGTGGTTAAGAGCTACGGCTGCTAACCAAAAGGCTGGCAGTTCAAATCCACCAGCCGCTCCTTGGAAACCCTATTGGGGAAGTTTTACTCTGTTCTATATGGTCACTATAAGTCAGAACTGACTCGATGGCAGTGGGTTTGGTTTTTTGGTGTAGGTTATTCCATTTGACTTTCACATAAATGTTATCCTGCTCCAAGTTAGAAGCAGGACATGTCCTTAAAATTCATCTATAAATGGGGTTTTCAGCATAGAGTTATGTTTTCCTACAGACATTATGTTACACTTGGGGGTTTGGTCCTATTCCCACTACAGGCAGCAGCCTCTGGAGCCTATTTCCTTAGGGGATACCTGGGCACAGGATTGTCCCTGTGGTGTGACAGGTACAGGTCACTGTGTGGACTCGAGGTCTGAGTCTCACCAGGGGGGCCAGAAGTAGCCAGGGATGTAAGAATCTTCCCACCCACCTTCTGCCAAGCTCCTGCTACTAAGCTCTGAGCCCCCAAGCTTTTGAAGCAGAGGGCTGTGGGAGCTCCCGGGGCAAGGACTGGACTGAGGAAAGGAGTCTCTAGTGAGCCCTGAGGCAGTGGCCTCCAGGGAGCCGCTCCCAAGCCAGCCATCATCCTCTGGTCCAGTAGCCCCTGGATCAGCCCATTGTCCAAAGCTGGAACTGAAGTCTCACTCGAGAAGTTAAGCCTAGGACTCTGCTGGCCAAAGCCTGGCGCAGACCCTGCTCCACCCACAAGCCCTCCTCCAAGGAGGGTCTGTGTCTTCTCTCTGGTGCCTTCAGGGGAGCAGGCTGCCAAGCCCCCCAGAAGGGGCTCAGAGAGCTCCACCTCATGGCTTCCTGTGGGGCTGTGTGAGCAGGAGTCCCAGTTGGCAGGCTGGAGTCAAGCCAGTGGGCAATCACTGATGATCTGCAGCTGCCTTCCCAGGTGGTTTTCCTTTTGTTTGAATGGAAGTACAGGATACACTTGATTTAAAAATTTTTGACCAAAAATAGAAAAACTACGTGTGTATGTATATACATAAGCTCAAAGAAAGAAAGACTAGATGCTTATTGAAGGCTAGTTATATTAGCTCACATAACACAATTTCTAAAAAATATTCACAAATTTATCTCTGCTTTCCAACAAGTAAAAGTATACATATATAAAATACTAAAGAACTATGAAACATATATACATATCTTTTAAACCTCTACGTTCTTTTTTTACTCTCTTAATTTTAGACTATTAATGCTACAAAAAATTATTCCACATCAGCATTTAATACAAGAATTACAGTCAAAATACATTGAATTAAAAAAAAAAAAATCTGAGCAGCAATATTCTGAAAAATATTCATACTGGTCCTCAGGTACTTTGAGAAAAGGGAATATGAGTTCAAGACCCTGACTACTTCCTAAGAGATCAAAGGGAGGGAAGAGCGTGGCTTCATTTTTCTGTGATGATCCATCCAGAATTGAATTATTTTATCAAAAGAAGGAGCATTCTCCTGATCAGACAAACTCAAAGCACTCAGAACATAGGGTGAAGTTTCTAAAGGGAACAAGATCTTTGGATATTTGAGAGCTTCTGGAGCACGTGCTCCATTTTTCAGAGGTAAACACCTCAGCTATAAAATCAGTAAATAGACCTTCTGCAAGGCCCATGTAACTTTTATATCTCAAATTTTACAATCAATTTTTTCCCAAGGATTTTTAGCTATAAATTAATTTTTAAAATATTGCCATAGGTGGCCAGTTCGTTTTAGATAAAAATGCCAGCAGATAGCTCCTAACTTAAATGTATGCTGTGAGGAAAGAGATGAATAAAGCCTCACACTGCCAGAAACTTACCCGAGTGAATGAAGAAGATTACCCAGTCGTGTCACTGCACATAGAAAGCCTGGTGGATAAACAGCATAACGAGACCTGGGACTCCGCTGAGGGACCTGCTCTGCTCTGAGGCCAGAGAGGCCTTCACAGGCACCAGACCAGCTCAAGTCCCCTGACCACGAGACAGATGAACACACTGTGACCAGCACTCGCTTAGAAAGGGGTGGAGAACCCTCATGCACAAGGCACATGAGACTCAAAACTTACCCATTTACAAATTTTCAAGTTCAAAATTGCCCATGGCAGACTGTCCTCAGGTACCAAGCCCCTGAGTGAGACGGGTAGGATGAACAAGATGAATAGCCATAGGAACTGAAACAGATTTTGGAAGAGCATATTTTGTACAGAGCAGGCCAAAGAGGAAGGAAGCCTTTTCCCTCCACCACTCTCCCTTCCATAGTTCCCTGGGTGGTGCAAGTGCTTTACACTCAGCCACTAACCATAAGATTAAAAAAACCAAAACCAAACTCATTTCTGGCCAGTAGATTCCAACTGATGGTGACCCCACGTGTTAAACAGAGTAGAAAAGCTCCATAGGGTTGTCTTGGCTGTAATCTTTACTGAAGCAGACTGCCAAGCCTTTCTTCTGAGCGGAGCAGCTAGATGGGTTCAGACTGCCAATCTTCAGGTCAGCAGCTGACCACAAACCACTGGCACCACCCACAGTAAGATTACAGCGATTGAAAATCCAATGGAGCAAAGTTCTGCTCTGAAACATGGCGTTGTCGTGAGTCCGAATTAACTGCCATGAGTCAAAATTTACTCCACGGCAACAGGTTTGGTTTTGGTTTTTACTCCCTCTCCTTGCTACCAACTGCTCATTTGCTGAGCTTTAGGAATATTTACCCACTCCTCTGTTCCAGTTCTCACCAGCTAACATGACCATTGTTAATTTCAAGCTGACTTTCCCCCACTAGCCGTGCAGTCCTGGAGCACAGGAACACTGCACTACTGATCTCTGTATCCCTAGCACCTGAGATGGGACCTGGCATGAAAAAGCCCTCAGTGAATTTTAATGAATAATGAGATTGAAGGATAGCAGAAATAAATAATATGTTTAGGGAATGAAGGAATAAAGGAGAAAGTTCTCCTTCACAGCCATAGAAATATAGGTTGTTTAATAAAAAAAAAAAAAAAAAAAAAAGAAGTGGTTTTCAAATTTGTATTTTCTCAGATAACAAAATGATTGTTGTTGTTTTAAGCCACTAAGTTTTGGGATGATGTGTTTCATAGCTGTAGGAAATGGGACAGACTTCGGTATCTGGTTGTGGGGGTGCTACCAAAATAAAATCCCAAACGAGTCTCTCCTCCCCCCAGAACACTTGTCTTTTCTCTAGGCCTCATGTATTGGGTCCTTGCATGGAAAATGCATGTTTTATTTCTGGAGGAAAGTTTTCTACTTTCCAACATGCTTCTGGAGCCCCGGTGGCGCAGTGGTTAAGAGCTCAGCTGCTAAGCAAAAGGTTGGCAGTTCAAATCCGCCAGCCGATCTTTGGAAACCCTATGGGGTGGTTCTACTCTGTCCTATAGCAGTCGCTATGAGTCAGAATCGACTCAACGGTAATGGGTTTGGTTTTTTTTTTTTTTTTCTTTCTTTCCGGTAACATGCTTCTAAGGAGACCTGCTGGTGAAAGGTAGGCAGTTCAAACTCACCAGAGGCTTCCTGGGTGAAAGTCCTGGCAATCTGCTTCCATAAAGATTGTAGGAAAACCTATGGGGCAGTTCTACTCTGTCACATGGGGTTGCTATGAGTTGGAATTGACTCTGTCTGTGGCACCTAACAACAATATGCTTCTAGGTATGGGGGAGTGGACAGCAGGGCCTTCTGTCTCTGCAAAGCTCAGTAGGTCACAGAGCAAAGATGCACAGTGAAGAAGGTGAAGTGGACAGTTCCTAATGGGAGACTGCCCAGAAGGGCACAAACCAGGCCACCTGTCTGGAGGCCGGCCAGCCTATGCCATTTAGCAAGTGGTAAAATATACCAAAAATATAGGATTATCAGTGAGCATGCTTGTAATCTGCTATAGATCTTGTATTTGCTGGGTTTGTTCACCCACAGCCCACATGGATCTTCTCTTCTTCAAAACAGGACATGGTTTGTTTTTGTTTCGGGGTCTGTTTTTGTTTTCTCCTGCCCTTTACCTAAAAAAAAGTCCTTTGGCTTTGCTGGGGCAGACAGAGGGTAATAATAACAGAACCACTTGTGGTTTATGACTGGCCTAGACCCAGGCCACAGCCTGTCATTCTCCATGGTCCTACCTCCTCCGTGTCCCTGCTTCCTTTTCTTTCTTGTCTCCATTCTCTGCCTCTCAAGGCACCCATGGTGACTATTGGCTCTGTGAAGATTTCTCTTTATATCTCCCAAAAATAAGCTTCATCATGTTCTATTTTTAATGGGTTTCAAATGTCTATTCTGCAAAAGAAAAGGTTCCTGGAAAAAGAAGTCAGAAACTGGAACCTCACACGGGGAGGAGATGAATGTGTGTTGGAACGGGGGCTAGTGGTGGGGAGAAAACAGGTCCAAGCAGCCTCCCTCCTGCCCCATTGGTGGTGAAGAACCTGGATTCTCACACCTAAAAGGATACTGAAGCTCAGGTGGCATCACCCTGTGCGGGGAGAGAACTCAGCCTCTGCCCCAGTCCTTGTCTTTGGGAGACAGTGCCCAGCGAAGCCACAAACTAGGAGTGCCAGCTGCAGGCATCAGTTGGTTGTGGTTGACTAGATCCCAAGCCCCGAGAACCCCAAAGCCCTGTGTCACCAGCCTCACCCACAGGACTGTAAGGTGCCTGTGTGAGGACATGGGTGAGCCCATCAGACTCCCACGAGCAGTGGCAGAGGAGTGCACATGCGTGCTGTAAAGAGGAGCTACTGTCATTCTTTCCAGGAGTCTTTGCAGAATAACCTCCGACTCTTTTCCCTCCTGACACCTGAATCTGTGTGTTCTGCTTTGTAGTTCTTCCCATATGGCGACGCCTCCAAGTTTGCCCAGCACGCTTTCCGGACCTTTGACAAGAATGGGGATGGCACCATCGACTTCCGAGAGTTCATCTGCGCCCTGTCCATCACCTCCAGGGGCAGCTTTGAGCAGAAGCTGAACTGGGCCTTCAACATGTACGACCTGGACGGCGATGGCAAGATCACACGAGTGGAGATGTTGGAGATCATTGAGGTGAGACGAGTGTGCTCTCTCGGGGCGGGCATCCAGATGTGGCCCGGACCTGGGCTGCGGGGCACGAACGGCAAACACCAAACGGCATCTTCCTTGGTGCCTGTAGTGGCTTCCTTTATCCCCTGGTCAGGAGCCTTGCTAGTTGCACACCAAGCCCTGAATTTTCCGACCTCTGCTCCCCCTACTCCAGTGCACTGCTGGGAAGTCACAGAACCCAGCCGTTGGGCCCTTCCTGTCAATTGAATCAGCCTCTCACCCACGGTGAGATCTTACAGAGCTCACAGAGTACCAGGACTCAGTTCCTCTGACTCTTGACTTAGGTGTGCTCTGCTGTGTACATCATCCTCACCTTCAAACCAGCTTTCCTCTGGTGGGCATAAGGTGCTCCAAGCAGCTCCTTATGCCCGGGTTCCCTTCCAGGCCACAGTCCAGCCACAAAGAGCAGGCAGCTTTCTCAAACACTTTTGCAAGTATCTCAGGACTCTTGCGTCCACTGCTCCGACTTCATCTTGTCCACACTCCTCATTGCCTGCTGCCTTCAGATACTTGGGCCTTCTTGGTTTTCTTCTAACACTCAGTCCTCTTCCTCTGCCCAGAATGCCCTCCCAGGCCTCCCCAGGGTCCACTCCCTCACTGCACTCATCTCTGTGCTCATATTTTAACCTCCCAATGATGCCATCCTACCCTCACCCCGTATCTAAAACAGTGCCCATCCCTACTTCCCACCCCAGCACACTCCTGCTGAGATTTATTTAGTGCTGCTCTAAATGACCTTATACATTAGAAGGAAGGCTCTGTGGGAACAACTCTGCTCCCTCACTGCTATATTCTCAGAACCAAGAATAATGCCTGGAACTTAATAGGCACTCAACAGCTGATGAATGACATCAATGACTTGCCTTTGATCGAGTGTCATAGGGTGTATGAGCACCACTGCACTAACCACTATGACCTAAGGAGAGAAATGAACTAATCACTTTAGGCAAGAGCCTGGTGTTCCCTCCCCAGAGTTGGTGTGAAGACCCATCCAGACCACAGGGACTGAGGCTGCTCTTCTCTTTCTCATCCTTGAGGATACACTTAGTTCTACTTTCTCCCCATCACTTCTAGCTCTCTTTTCCTTCCTCCTTTTAAATAGGTGGATCCTCAAATGAAAATTGGGGACAATTGTAAGAAATGATAACCAAAGCCCAAGTAATCAAGAAACCAAACAGCCAAATCTTCCAGATATCCACCACACTACTCTCTCACCTCCCCACTGCCTCTGAGAGATGGGAAGATCTTCTCCCTCTTCCTGCCCCTCCCCAACGCAGTCAGCTCCATTCTGACTGCTTCTGAAGGCTTTCTCTTTCACTTATACAACTTCTCTTTTAGCATCTTTATTCTCTTCTCCTCCTTTGGATTCTTGCCATCTATTATCAATGCCCAGTCCCCTCAAACATGCTTAACAGGCTAATATTCTAGTTCTCTATTTGTATTCACTTCATTCAATTAAGTGTATGCATCCATACAAGTTATGAGAAAAGACACAGTATAAAAATTCTGCACATGTGCTTTACCCCTCTGCCATCATTTTCTCGTCTTTCTCACTCTTTCATCTTTTGTCCATTGTCCACACTCCACTGGATTCTTACCAAAGTCTATGACTTTCCTACAAGACAGGCTTTTCCAAGATTATTCTCCTCTTTGACTTCTTGCCATTTTTCCCACTGATCATCAATCCTCCCCCAAACTCTCCTCTCTAATCCTTGGCAATGCCCTTCAGCCAAAGATCACCAAGAACACACCTGCAGTTGAACAAGTTGAATTTGTTACTCGTTGCAGTGAGGAAACTGTGGGGTGATTCAGTAAGAAAGTGTTAGAAAGGACTTATTATGGGATTTGGACTTTGGTAGGGTGATTTGGGAGTCCCTCGGCAGCCCAAACAGTGAACACGCTCTGCTGTTGACTGACAGGTTGGAGGTTGAGTCCATCCTTTCAGTCAGGCACCTCTGAAGAAAGTCCTGCCAATCTACTTCCAAAAACTCAGTAATTGAAAACCCTATGGAGCACAGTTCTACTCGGACACATATGAGGTCACCATGGCAATTGGTTTTAATTGGTTTTGGGTAATTTGGGGAGGGTCAAGGAAGCAGGGGTTTGCTCTGGTTGGGTACTGTCAGAGAGTGGAAACAATTCTATGACTGGGTATCTCAATAAGTCTCGTCCAAAAGGAGGGCAGACTAGACCACCGATGAAGCTCTGATTAATAAAGAGCAACTGTCACTCACATTAGCAGGGAGGGGCTGTTTAGTATTTTGTGGCTTAGTGCTATGTTTGTGTTCAGACAAGATTACGGAGCGGTCTTGTTTTTGTCTTGTTCCATCATGGTCACAGATGTTCTGTGAAATTGTTTATGCTCAATGGGAGAACACCAAGACCTAGCTGTGATTGCCAGGCCAGCTCACAGCAACACCAAGGCCTAACAGACAGCACCAGTCCACTCCCAGCCATCTGGGGCTACTGTTGTCTTTCTCATCCTTGAGGATACACCTAGTTCTACTTTCTCCCCATCACTTCTAGCACTCCTTTCCTTTCTCTTTTTAAATAGAGACATTCTCAAGAGAGGCTTTATTAGCTGATCTTTTACTTCGTGGTGGTCACATTTTCCTGCTTATGGCATGTTGAATGATTTTTTTTAAATGACTCCTGGACATTGTGAATGTTATATTACAGTATCTGTATTTTGTTGTCTTCATTTAAAGAGTGCTGAGATTTGATTTTGCAGGCAGTTAAGTTGTGTGTGGCTTAGCTTGATCTTTTTGGGACTCGTTTTTCAGCTTTGTTAGGGTACATCTAGAGTAGCCTTCCTCTAGGGCTAATTAGCCCTATTACAAAGGTGCAACCATTCTGGGGTCTCTACTGAGTTCCTTGTGTGTTCAGTGTGGTCTCTCCTTTCTGACTGGTAGGAACTTGAATGATTCCCAGTCCTGTGTGTGCTGGAAATTACTCAGGTATTTAATTCAGTGAAAGCAGATAAGATGAGCCAATGAGTGAGTATAAATAGACATTTCCAGAGGACTGAGCCCTGGGACATTGCAATGTTTAGAAGTCAGGAACATGGGGAAGAATCAATAAATAAGACAGAGAAAAGTGGCTAATAAGCTCAAAGTAAAAAGAGAGAGAGAGGGAAAAGAGACTAACCTAGTCCTGCAAGGGAAAGATAAAAAAATGTTTCAAGGGGAAAGGAATGTGCAAATCTGTAATGCTAGGTATAAGAGAAGTAAAATTAGTAGTAATAGTTGGCAATTAGATTTGGAAACCTGGAGGCCATTGGCACTAACCAAGAATATAATTCCAGTGGAGTAAACCAATTGCCACTGAATTGACTCTGACTCATGGAGACCCCATATGTCTCAGAATAGAATTGTGTTCCATATGGCTTTCAATGGCTGATTTTTTAGAAGTAGATCTCCAGGCCTTTCTTCCAAGGTACTGCCGGGTGGACTGAAACAACCAACCTTTTGGTTAGCAGCCGAGCGTGTTAACCATTTGTACCACTCAGGGACTCCTTCCAGTGGAGTGGTGGGGGAAAATCTTAATTGGAGCAGCCCAAGATAATGGGAGTGGAGGAACTAGAGACAGTGAGTATAGAAAACTCAAGGAGCTTTGCTTTAACAAGGAGAAGAGAAACAGGGCATTTGTCCTACTATGAATACTCCAAGTAATCAGTGAAATCTCCCAGTCTGACTGATCTGAACTAGAATGTGTCTCACCTGTGTGAGCTCCGGGAATTGTCTGGCTTATTGCTCAGAGACTCCCCCATGGACTTTCAACCATGCACACACAGCCCAGTCTTCAGTCAAAGACTCAAGGAGACTCCCAAGCAGGTTTCTGGAACTCTTTCTCTACACGGCTCACTCCTCTCTGGTACTCTGCCCCGCCAATTCTAGCTAACTCAGCCTTCCTAGACTTTGATTTTTGTCTCCTCAAGTCGGTAAGGCCACTGTGCTCTGCTGGGATTGCCCTCCCTGTGCTGCAGTCAGGAAAGGCCACCAGGCAGAAAGATGAGGCAATTCCCTTCTCTCAGCAACCACAGTGCTGCACTGCCAGTTGTGAAGTCTGAAAACAGCTGTTCTTTCATTTTTGTCCAGTCTCCCAGTTTGCAGAGGGAAGGCAAGTCCCATTCCAGTCAGTCTGCCCTGACTGGGGATGGGAGTAAGGGGAGCATTAAGAGTCAGGCTCTGGCACTGCCATATCTTGGCCCTGGGACTTTGAGCACTGAAGCCTCCATGTTTTCATGAAAAAATAAGGATAATAAATACCTGTCCTGCAAGTCTGTGGTAATGATGAAATGAGATAGTCTGTAAAGTAGTACTTAGCACACTTCCTTTCACATAGTAAATGCTCCATAAATGGTAGCTATTTCTTGGGGCTTTGTCTTCTAGCTTCGTTTGTATTCTCTCCAGACATCTTCCCTTAGAAACGTCATTCACTCAACTCTCAGCTTCTCCTCAGCTAGTCAGCCTGTCCCCAGGTTCTGTCCCCTCTTCCTTTGTGCTCCCTCTTGGTGTAGTTTCCCCATCTCCATCTCCATTATTTTCACCAGGTTCTGGCTCTTCTCACCTGCACCATTACATGTTTTCCTGCCTCCAGGTTCCTCTTTGATGAGCCACCTTATTCATGGCCAACAGATTAATGTTCTTGAAGTGATACTGTCATTGTCAACCCCATGTTTAAAATCCTTCAATAGCTTCCCATTTGTTCAATCAATACATCTTTATAGAGCAGGTACCACATGCCAGGCACAGCCGTCTGACACAGCTTGCATCAGTTCTTGCATTTCTCCTCTGCTCCAGCAATCACGGTCCCTTCACTGGCTCCTCACCTGTGCACATCCACAACTGGGCACTTTTGCTCATACCATTCTTGTCACCTGGAATGTCCTTCATGACTCTGTGCCCATCCACATCCTCATACCTTTCAAGGCCTAGGTTATCTCTCCTCGTTCATGGAGCCTT